AGGTATAGATATGTAGATTCATAAAGTAATGTGTGGGCACACATGTTCTTTCTAGGAGCATAGAATGCTTTATCCCGGATTCCTCTGAGGAATAAGGTGGACACAGAGTAAATATCTCCTGGCTGCCTTGATGTTATGATGATAATAGCTTGCCAACTCAGCCTGGAAAAATTATTTTTATTAAATTTACTTCTTTGGATCAAGGCCATATATGCAGAAGGTACCTGATTAAATCCAAGTATGTGCTCTACAAGGTATGACAAACGCTGCTAAGGGCTGTTCATTTACAAGGAGGTGAGAAATAGGCAGGTCACTACACTAGGGAGAACAAAGGAAGAAGAAACAATGAGGGAAAAGAGGGATTTGGCAACATCTGGGCTAGGTGTGGTGTTTTGAAGACTGTCTTAGAGATTCATTGCGGGACAGGAAACTTTACAGATAAGTACACACTGTCAAGCACTACCCATCCTCCTTCACATGGATGTCCATGGTCTAGAAAGATGGTTTCAGGGTTACAACAAAGCATAAAGGAACTGGTTCACAGTTGGAGAAAGAGGAGAGAAAAAGTTGTTATATTAGTGACATTCTGTTGAGGGGAGAAAACTTCCTTTCAGGCTCTGATTGTCTGGTTATGTGAAATTTTAATATTAGTTAGTCTTGATGTTAACAACAAAGCATCTACTAGTCTATATCCCTTGCTTTTTTATCCCTTGCTATAACCCTTGCTTTTTTACCCACAATAGCATGTTTTGAATGGCTGTCCTGTCTGTGGGAAAAAATTTAAAAATTGCAAAGGAAATGATACAACTGCCCTTTGTTTACTTCATGACTGAAAAGGCAGTATCCGAGTGACGAACCCAGCAGTCTGCAGTCCCCAGCACGCCTCAGAATGTATGGTTTTTACATCCTGCTATGAATGCACGAATCACACCGCCTGTTGCAATGATTCTTATATCCCCTTAAAATTCAGCAGGGCATGTAAAGCGTCCCGCCTTGTGGCACTCCTCATGTTTTGTCCCACCAGTCATTTGAGAGCACTTTCATCTTGCATTTCCTTGAGCGTGTGTATGTAGCACGAGGCAAAGGCAGTAATTACCCAGACAGACTCCAAGTGTTAAATGTTACTCAAACAAACCCAGTGCATGACATCCACAGTAAAGAACAGGGAAACAAAGAAATTGCAGTGTTTCGTTCCAACCCAACACCCTCAGGAGAGCAGAAATCACAAGGCAAAGCCATAAGTATTTATAATCTCCCAGAGCTGTATGGAGAAAGTTCACAGGAAACAGTTAAAGATGCAGCAAGGAAGCTCAGCATTTAGCTGCATTTCTTTGGATTCTTGCTGGTTTGTGCAATTAAAAGCCAAATGGAAAATACGCCGTCACTAATCTTGATTTTAATAGTCTGACTAGGAAGGTAGCTTTTCCGTCATGAGGGCCTCAACAACAATCCTACAAAGGAAACCTTCCTGTAGGAACTGGGGCTCACTTGGTTGATCCCAGGGGTGCAATCTCTGTAAGCCCTTAGAGTCCCTCCTGTGTTTGTGTCTCCCTGGGGACCACTTGGGACAGGGAGGAACCCAAACAGAGGCTTCCTGCTATTGTTGAAATAGAAGTAAAGAATACTGTGTAGGGCATGGCTGTGGCCCACACCTAGGATTTACTCTGCTATTGTCCAGGGATGCTGTATATCCGGAGAAGATAAAACAGGCTACCAGGTGCCTCAGTAGAAAAGTTTCTTCCCTCAATTACTATCCACGAGGCTTCCTAATTTCCAGTAATTGGTTCCATTTCTTCCATCCTGCAGTCCAAACCTCCATGGGATTATCTACCTTTTTTATTGTAAATCCTTCAAAATAATTCTTTCATGCTGTGCCCATTTGTGTTCCTATCTTTCTTCCACAGCTTTGTATATTCCTGAGAAGAAAGGCCTGGATCTCTTTCATGCTTGTCTTTTCTATGTTAGTTGTTTAATGATAATTGTAACAAAATAACATTCATCAAGCACTTCCTAGGTGCTTGGGCACATTTTCTAGTGGGTCATCTCGGTTTTCTCAGTTCTGTGGCATGAGGTGAAGAACTTGGGCTTTAGGATTGACCGCCTATCTTCAAAGCCTTTCTCCCAGGGTTCAAGTGGTCCGGCAGCCCCAACCCCACCTACCTCCAGACACCTCCATAGATTGCACTGACTCAGACCTACTGTCCATGAGCCAAACTCATTATTGCTCCTTATCCCTGAAGTGTCCTACTCGTGACTCGACATATTTGGATATTCAGAAAAATCGTGACTAATTTAACTAATCACACCAGACAGGCCCTTTCTTTCTATTTCTTTAGTGTTTCCTATTTTCAACCATTTCACATTAATGATCTCCACAGTTCTTGGTGCCATCCTAGTCAGGTGAGCTGTGTAACTTCACCTTCCCCGTGGGACAAGAGAAGCAAAATATCTAGACAGCAGCAGAACTACGGCTTGCCCCCTCATCTTCTACATCTGCCCATAGGATTTTTGGCTCTACTTTACCTTGCCCTTGGCCCTGTTCACCTGTGTGAGCAGAGTGACTAGACACGAGCTGTGCCTTTGATGTCTCAGGTTGTCAGGTAACCATAGTAGTTGTCGCACCTCATGGCAAATAAGATCACCTGGCACACCCTTGCTCTCAAGATTTGTGCTATAAGAGATGAGGCATTTTCCACAGAGGGCCATTAAGTCTGGAATTCCCTTCCCCTGGTCTGACAGAGCCCTGGAGAATTGATCTTCTGGGTCTTGGCAAACCACATTAAGTAAAGCTAGGCAGTCAGTCACTCTTGGTAAGAAAGCTTAACGGCAGGAAGAAAGCAGTAAGTAGACTCCTGAGCAATAAGTAGAGTCCTGAGCAATTTGTAATTGTGTGGTTTTCACCGTTTAGACCCCTGAAGATAGCTACTCGTCTGAATGGAATCCTTGAGACATACAACTGTGGTCTGCAGTGTACGCGACTGTATTTCTGTGTTCTTACATCATGTCGCAAATGCTGTGGTGAAGAAGCCTATAGGGAAGTTTTGGTTTCTTCTGCATAAACTATTTTGCAGTAATTGATCAGCCATAGAGAGGAGATTGTCTCCTGTGCACCCACAGTGAGTTCTGCGGCCACGAGAGACTAATAAGTCATGTCCCTGGAACTATTATCACTTTGTTGAAGAAGCTGCTATGTGAACAAAAACCAGCCTTCGTTAATTTCCCTTTTCGTATTTAAAAAACCTTGTCAGTATTTCCCCTCTGGGATTATGTAATTTGTCAATAGTACATATTATTTTAGATATACAGGAGAAAGAAGCAGGGTAATGTGTCCTTATTACTTTATTTTTCCACTGATCTTCATGTCACTCAAGAAGATTTTCCAATTTTATATTGCTGAATACTATACAGATATAAAAGTGGCCAGTGAGATAGCTCATCAAGTTAGAGTTCTTGCAGCTAAGCCTGGCCTCAGTTGGGTTTCTGAATGGGACCCATGTGCTAAATGGAGAGAATTAGTTGTCCTCTGACCTGTATTATAATGTACATACTGTCTCTCTCTCTCATACACACACACCAATAAATAATGTACTTATTTACACAATAAAAATTATATATATATATATATGTCTGGGTGTCTGGGTATGGTGACACATGCCCTTAATCCCAGCACTTGGGAGGCAGAGACAGCTGGATCTCTATGAGCTTGAGGCCAGCCAGATCTATACAGTGAGTTCTAGGCTAGTGAGGGCTACATAGTGAGACCCAGCAAGGGTAGCAGGCAGGCTAGGTGGGGATGTAGCCTAGAGTGGTGGAGTGCTTATTTACCTAGCATGCACAAAACCTAGATTTTGACCCTCAGTATCAAATAAAGTAGACATGGTGGTGCATGCCTGTAATCCCACACTCAAAAGGTGAAAGCTGGTGGATCACAAGTTCACAGTCATTCTTGACGACGTGTGGAGTCCAAGACCAGAATGGGACACATAACACCCGGTCACAAAAGCAGAGAAGGTGGGGACGGAGGGGTTTGGAAGAGGATGAAGGGGAGGAGGAAGAAGAGAGGAAAAAGAAAAGTTGTCTGTATGTGAAACATTTCTGAAGCTGTTTGAATTTCACTCCTTCGCCTTCCCTCCTCCAACATCCGCATGAGTAGAACAGATGATGTCCACATCGCACTCATCTGTGGGAAGCAGGGATGATCCTTGGGTGTCACAATTAGAACTGTCTGGTAAATGCTTGTGAAGGAGGGTCAGATTTATCCCGCTGTTGTAAAAGCTCTGAGTGTCAAGTCACACCTCTCTTCTACTGCCCGGTATTCATACGTAGAAAAAGTTGACCTCTAGGTAAGTCACACATAATAGATATTTAAGTTTAGTTGTCATTGTTCATAAGTGTCTGTATCAAAGTTGAAAAATGATCCTTACTTATTGGTGGTTTAAATCAGTGGTGGTCAGCCTTTTGGCTTTTCTGGGCCACACTGAATGAAGGGGCTTTTCTTGAGCCACTTACAGGGGTGTCTGACTCACAATCCATAGGTAGCAAAAACTCTGTGTGTGTGTGTGTGTGTGTGTGTGTGTGTGCGTGTGTGTGTGTGTGTGAACTGTTTGGTAAATACCTGTTAAAGATATGGGGTGGGGGAGTACGGTGAGAAAGAAAGTAATAAATACTGTGACATGACATTGTCGTCTACAAAACTGGAGATTAGGAATGGCTCAATTGCAAAAAAAAAAACATTTTAAGTAAGTTTATAATTTGAGGCTACATTCATAGCTATGTACTATTCTATTCCACACTTTTTATTTTTAGAAAGTAATGTATTGTTTTTAGCAATGGGAAAGGATCTTGGAGCTTGTGTTCACGTTTGCCTGAACTCAGCTGTCAGTTTATTTGCTGTGGGATTTTTTTTTGTCCTAGAAAAAGTTGGTTTATGGATTGTGTGCCCCATTCTTACACTGTATGCACAGAAGCATTCTTATCACTCACCATGAACTCTATTGCAGTTTGTTTCCGTGCTGGAAGGGGTGCTGTCTAAGCTGTCTAGGTATGATGAAGGCACTTTCTTTTCATCCATTCTGTCATTCACTGTAAGTATCTCAATGAGGTCTCTTGGGTTGTCTTTTAACAGTTACCACAGTACTTATGTATCAGTTAAGAATTCTCATGGTTATCCTTTTCTTTCCCATTTAAGGTGAAAGCAGCTGCAAAATATGTTGATGTCCCTGTAAGTATTTCTTAATGTGTATTCCTTCCCTTCCTAACCTCCTCCCATCCAACCATCCATCCAACCATCCATCCATCCATCCATCCATCCATGCTTCCCTTCCCTTCTATCTCTTCCCAGCCCCTCATAATGATTCCATGTTGGTTGACTTCAATTCTTTAAACCAGTACCATTCCTTGAGTTGGGGAGTAGTTTTCTTTCCTGAAGCAAACCCTAACCCTCATAATAAAAGCTAGGCATCATCATTTCAGTGTATTTTGCTTTTTCTCCAATAACTTGGGAGCTGTCAGAAAGTTAGTCCACTATGAAACCATGACATTAGAGCTCCAAAGGGAGCTTACAGCCCTCCAGAAGGGAACAGAGAATGCCTTACACTATATAAAACAGTACTCTTCTTACTCATTATATGAAGGTTCTAGCAAGTTTCTAGTAAGAATTAAAATAGCAATTAAGGCTCACCAGTTAAGTCGATGAACCCAATTTGTAATAAAAAGGTGATAAATCAATAGTCACTTATTTAAACATTTCATTTTTCAAAGACTTCTTTGGAAATAATACATGACCTATAAATTTGTTCAAAAATTAAGATACCAAGAGTAGAAACCATGGAATAAGATAAACACAAACCAGTTTAGTACAATATTTTGAAGCTGTACTGAATTAATTTGGGTTTCAAATTCTATTAGTATCACATTCAAATATATGGTTTATAGATGACCAAAGCCCAAACTGATCTAATTATGTACTTGAGCATATGTTATCAATTTCCACACAATTAGAGCATGGTGAATACCTTTAAACACAGCAAGTTGCTGGAATATGACCCACCTCTTTGTGCTTGAACAGGCTGCTAAGACTCCTTGAGCAACATTTGCAGGTGCTTCTTATTTTTCAAATGCTTACCTGCATTTTGTCACCAGCGTGACTGATGGAATAGTCTTAAGTGCACATTCTAAATTGGAAGTCTCTGGTCTTCCTTCCATTCGTTGGGGTTTCTTTGGAACATTTTACTTAAAGAGTGACCCCAAAGAAGCCTCTGTACTCTGTCTTGTACTTAGGATCAGTGCTGGGAAATACATGGGCTTAAATATATGCATGGAAGACAGAATGGGAGTACTAAGGGGAAGGTTTTTGTGTTTTATGTCTTCAGAAAGACAAGCCATCGTGTACATGTTACTTCCTTGGACTACTTATGTATCTTCTAATAGGTTGTATCTTGAATTTACATAGAATTAGATATTTTAATTACTTATGTCTCTGGAGTTTTGAAGCTCTCAATTGACTATGAACCAGGTCCTCTATATGCCATAAAATGTTAGTGGAAAGAAGCAGAAAGTGCTTCATCTGCTCTCTTCAATGCAGAAAGATCATCATTTGTCATCCTTCTCAAAGATGCTCTGAGCTCTGTTTAGTTATCTCAGTGATTGCAAACTGGCTGTTAGTCAGCTTATTCTTAATTATAATAAACTGACCTTCTGTATATCTGTGAGTTCTACTCATTAATCCTAGTTCTGCTCTTTCTTCACCAGGATAATCCTTCAAATATATGATGATCTTTATCATGGTTCCTGTCCCCAGGAGCTGTGGTGGTTATTCAAACGCATCTATTATCTGAACAACTCTTATTCTTTAGATTAGACACCCTTACGTCTTCACTGAATCCCTGTGTTAGGTGTGTACCAGACCATAGGCATTTTTAATGGAACAGTGTATCCCATACCTCCACGAGCAGGGAGTCTGGGAGTAAAGTAGTACATAGGTATGCCAACATGAGCAATGCTGTGGCGGCCATTCCCAGACTCTTCATCATATCTGTCGAGGCTTAGATGAATTGCAAATGCCATGGCCACTGCTCAATCAGGTTATCCCCTGGAGCAGAGTTATCTGTTGCATAGAAGTATCCTGGCCAGGGCAGATTACCAGCGGATGAGTTTTCCCTCGGATCTGGACCTCACGATTCTATTGCTGATTCGTATTAATTTTAAAACTGTGAGTAGATCTTGCTCGCTGTTATTATTGTCTATATTCCTGCTCCAGCAAATATATCTGTCTGAACAGGATTTTAAGGAAAATTCATGGACAATGGCTCTATTCTTATAAAAAAATTAAGACATCATAGAACCATATGCAAAGTACAAAAGAATACAATCTTCTAAAGAAAATATAGAGGACTTTGGGTTTAGAGATGAACACTTAGAGACAACGCCAAAAAGAGTACTCTGAAAAGAATTGATAAGTTGAACTTTAAAAAATTGATAAGTGAGGCTGGAGGCATGGCTCCATGGATAAAAACACTTGCCACTAACTCTGAAATCCTGCATCCAACCACCAAAACCTACAGGGCAAAACGAAGAACTGATCTCCTCAAGTTGTTCTCTGACCTCCACATACACACACCTAATCACACATACACAATTAATTAATATTAATTATTTTCACACAGAGGTTCACTGGCCTAGGACTTAGAAATGGCTGAGTTTTTTATTCATCTTATGTGGCCTTGGACAATTGGATTAACTATATGACCTGGGGATTTTACTTAGGTGACCTCAGTTTAGTCTTCTATAAAATGGGCAAAGGAGTTATATGATTTGCATTAGTCCTATGACAAGCCTCTACTCTTTGAATTCTAAATATCTGTTTAAGTCCTTCCAAGAGAAAACAGATCCCAAAATGTCCCCCACTGGATGATGACAAGATAGTGCTTGAGAAAAAAAAAATTCTGTGAAAGGGATAATACCTTCTTACAATAATACTATCACTTGCTGGAAAATTGTCTTGAAAACAAATCAGTATAAACAATGATCCACTATAAAATTAAAATTACCTATGAAATCAAATATTTATATTCTGAAAGGGGGAGGGAGATTCATGTTCCCAAGACCTGTTGACTTGAAATTACCACACAACTGAGGATGAGTAATAGCTAGTAAGAAATTGTTTGGCCCGACGTGGTGGTACATGCCATCAATCCCAGCACTCAGAGGTAGAGGCAGAGGCAGGTGGATCAGATTTCTGTGAATTCAAAGCAGGCCTGGTCCAGGCAAATTCCAGGCCAGCCAAGGCTACATAGTGAAACCCTGGACATGATAAGTGGGTGAAGAGGAGGAGAAAGGGAGATTGTTGAAATGAAGCAGCTTAAATATAGCATAGTGTATGAGCATAGTTTCAACATATGCAGCCCAGCAACCCGTCAGAGAGCTTCCCAGCATTCATGTTGGTGAAGATTTCAGATGGTTTGAAATTTGAAAGGCCTGTTAACTGGGTCTTCTGTAGACCAGGCTATATTTGAAGGTCACCTTAAAATTGTGATCCTCATACCTCCACCTTTGAAGTTCTAGGATTACAGGCATGTAGTACCATGCCCAGTTGGCTTAATTAAAAAAATAAAATAAAAGTCCTGGATGTGGTGACCCTGTCACAACAATACCTAGAAGAAAGGAATACGGATGTGAGAGCCATAGCCAGCATGTTAAATGCAGAGCTAAGAGAAGACAGTTTACGTTGACTTTATAAACAGGAGCACTAGGCCAAAACCAAAAGCTTGGTAACACTGAATGAGTAATATATGTACTAAAATTAACAACAGTTTTTAAAATTGCCTGTCTCGAATAGGAGAAGCTGAGGGCATGTATTACTTCTGTAGAGGACCCAAGATCGCTTCCCAGCATACTTGTCAGGCAACTCCTAACTAACTGCCTGTAACCCCAGCTCCAGGGGGTCTGACACATCTGGCCTCCAGTGGCTTCAGCACGCACACACTCACACACACACACATGCATACACACACTCTCAGTTTTTATGGCATAGGTAAGGTGTAGCTAAAAGCACTGTGTGTTTTGGAAAGAAGGAAGGATAAGATGACTCTGTGTCTAAGGCTAAAGGTAGTTGGTACCGAGTCTGACAGCCTGAGTTCAATCCTCAGAACCAGATGGTAGGAGAAAACCAACTCCCAGAAGCTGTCCTCTGACCTCTACTCATGCATGCACACATACACGCATACAAAATAAATAAACTAAGATGTAATAAAACGGGATGGGAGACTGGAGAGATGGCTGTGTAGGTGAAAGCACCTGTTTCTCAACTGTGGGGGACTTGGGTTCAACTCAGATCCCCAGAAATCACATGAAGACAGGTATGATTGTTGTGTCTGAAATCTCAGCATTCCTGCAATGAGAAGGGAGGCAGAGAGATGAGACTCCCCAGGATAATGTGGGCTAGCCTGGCCTACGAAGCAGTGAGCACCTAAAGAGAGAGCCTGCTTCACATAAGGTAGACGATGGAAACCAGTGCCCACCATTGTTCTCCCACACAGGTACCAGTCATACTTAGAAACATGCACACATGTCACACACACAAAGTTAAATGAACAAAACCTTTGTAAAGTATCATTTGAGACAATAATGTGGTGTAGTTGTTGTTTGGGGGGGCTCTTTAGGGGAGCCAGGATTCCAGTGCTTAAATTCTTCCTCCATCACTTTGCTTATAGTATCACTGTGACCTTGGGCACCAATTTGTTTGTCTATTAAATGAAATTATAATTATACCTCTTACAAGCTTATTGTGAATAAGCACTTCCCAGGCTTCCTAGAGTGCAATTAGCACTTAGTAAATGTCAGTTACTATCATGCATGACCATTGATTATGAAATAAAATCTAATGACTACATTCTACAAAATCAGCATTTATTCGTTGCATCTGTAGTACGGTGGACAAATCACATAAAACATTTAAAAACAGGACACCCTTTTAACTTTGTACAAAGCTGCCAGAAGAGTTAAGAGTTCTACCCGAGAAGCTTGGAAACAGTAACTTGTGAGGATAGAAGTGGAGGAGGGAGAGAAGTGTGGAGTTTATCCTGAAAAGAATCTAACATAGGAGACAGTTCAGTATCTGCAGTCTCTTCAGTAGCAGTCCTTTCAAACATTCTCTCTTTATGCTCATTGCCAAACATATAGAATCTTCATTTAGTTCCCCAAATGTGACTTCAACTTAACTCT